TATATATATATATATCCTCATTTAACCTTTTGTTTATCTTATTATATTTTATTAAGGCTATGGCATCCCGAAGTAGAAGAGCAAATAACAATGGTGAACAATCCCAACCTAGTGAGGTTGACCCACTGTTTGTTCAACAATTTCTAGCTATGATGAGCATGTTCATCCAAGGGATAGTGCCTTAGCAAACACCACCACATGAACCGACACCATCACAATTGTTGCCACCTCAATTTCAATCTTATCTGAATTACAAAAGAATAAAAAAATAATCCGAAAGCTCTTCCACAGGCACCAGTGACGATAGAGGACAATAGGAATATTGCCACAGTTGTCGTAGAACTTCTCAAGAAACAGCATCCTCCAACTTTTGAAGGTAGTTTAGATCCTTTGGAAGTAGAAGATTGGTTGGTAGGGATAGAAAGGATCTTCGATCTCATTGACTACCCAGACTCCAGAAAAGTTACATGCACAACCTTTATGCCGAAAAAGGGTGCCATGCACTGGTGGGACTCAATCTCAAGGTCAAGGGCTCGTGGACATGGAACCAATTCAAGGAGACCTTTTTGAAGAAGTACTACCCTACAAGTGTCCGAAATCAAAAGAAGACTGAGTTTGTTACATTAACTTAGGGCTCGATGTCTCTTACTGAATACGAGTGAAAGTTTGAAGAATTATCCCATTATGCCCCAAGCTTTGTAGATATGGAGCAGAAGAGGGCGAGACGTTTTGAACAAGGTCTAAGGGATGATCTAAGGCACGCAGTGGTAGCCCTTGAACTAGGAACCTACCATGAAGTGTTAGTTAAGGCACAGTTGGCAGATTTCAAGCGTCACACTAGTGGGGAGAACAAGGAGCATGTACAAGCAGAAAAGCACAAGTGGGAGGATTGTAAGGAAAAAGGGAAGCAAAACTTCTTAAAGAAATATAAAGGAGACTCGAGTGCACACACTTATCAACAATATCCAGTTTGCGGCAAGTGCCAAAAGCGTCATGCTGGAACGTGCATCATGGGGATAGGTCTATACTTCAATTGTGGTGAAGCAGGCCATATGGCAAAAACATGCCCCAAAGGACAGAAACAAAAGCAACAATAGAAGCTTGGGAATCCCCCTAGAGGCCAAGCTAGAGAGTATGCGCTCACAGAGCAGGAAGAGGACATAAACCGCAATGTCTTAGCTGGTAACATCCTTATATCTCGAACCTATGCTCATACTTTGATTGATTCTAGCTCCACTCATTCTTTTATATCTCCAAAGTTTGTGAACAAACTCAATACACCTAGTGAACATATAAATACTACCTTAGAAGTTGCTATGTCCTCAGGAGAAGTGTTAGATAGAAACTCTATAGTGAGGACAGCTAGGATGGAGATTGATGATAAATTCTTAGAAGCGAACTTATATGTCTTGAACATGCAAGAGTTCGACGTAATTTTGGAAATGGACTGGCTATCTAAGAATCACACAACTATTTTATGTTTTGAACGAGAAGTGGTATTTAACCATCCTGGAGAAATCGTCTTTCTATAACTAAGACAAAAACCCTACCTCGTATCATTTCCGCATTGAAAGCTAAGAAACTCTTGAAATCAGAAGGCTGTAGTGGTTTTTTTATGTCAATAGTAGCTAAAGAAGATGAAATACTACCAGTGATGTTTGTCAAAAAGAAGGATGGAACAATGAGGATGTGTATCGACTATCGAGAACTGAATAAAATCACCATTAAAAATAAGTATCCCTTACCCAGAATCGAAGACTTGTTCGATCAACTACGAGGGGCCATAGTATTTTCAAATATTGACTTAAGGTCGGGATATCACCAGTTGAAGATCAAATCTAGTGATGTCCCAAAGACTGCCTTTAGAATTCAATATGGTCACTATGAGTTTTTAGTTATGTAGTTTGGCTTAACAAATGCTCCTAGAGTTTTCATGGACTTGATTAATCGCGTTTTCCATGAATACTTGGACCAATTTGTCATTGTATTCATTGCTGACATCTTATCTACTCTCAAAGTGAAGAAAAACACGAAAAATATTTGAGAATTGTGCTAGATATCCTCAGGAAGGAAATACTTTTTTGCAAAATTCAAGAAGTGCGAATTTTGGTTAGAACGGGTGGTCTTTCTTGATCATGTGATCACAGCACAGGGAATAGAAGTGGACCCCAATAAAGTTGAAGCAATATTGAATTGGTCAAAACCAACCAATGTGGGAGAACCTCGCAGCTTTTTAGATTTAGCAGGATACTATAGAAGGTTTATCGAAGGATTCTCCAAAATATTAGGACCATTAACACAATTAACTCGTCAAGGTGTAAAGTTTGAATAGACAGAGAAATGCGAACACAGTTTTGAAGAATTAAAGAGGAGGTTAATCAATGCTCCAGTTTTAACTATACCTGGAGAATCGGAAAGTTTTATATTATACAGTGATGCATCCAAACCGAGTATTGGATGTGTTTTGATGCAATAAGGCAAGGTAGGTGCTTATGCATCGAGACAGTTGAAGCCTTATGAGCAAAACTATCCCACGCATGACCAAAAACTGGCCGCGATAGTTTATGCCCTGAAAATTTGAAGGCACTATTTATACGGAGGGAAGTTGACATCTATACATATCATAAGAACCTCAAGTTCATATTTACTTAAAAGGAGTTGAACATGAGACAAAGAAGATGACTTGAACTAGTAAAAGATTACGATTGTGAAATTAATTACCACTCGGGAAAGGCAAATGTATTAGCCGACGCCTTGAGCAAGAAGACAACAGGACAAGTGGCAATGTTAACACAAAAGCCTTTATGGAGAGAATTTGAGAGATTAAGTCTCAAAGTGGTCGCTACTCCCTCAAATTCTATTGCTTGAATGGTAGCACTTTCAATTTGACCGACTCTTCATGATCGGATTAAGGCCATCAAAAGGGTGATCAATCCTTTGAGTTTATCAAAGCTGAGATTAACACAGAGAAAAGGAAAGATTTCACCATAGCTGAAGATAAGGTGCTTTATTATCAGGGACGCCTATGTGTACTAGATTTCGAAGAATTGACAGCTGAAATCTTGGAGAAAACCCATTCTTCTCCTTATTCTATACATCCAGGATGTAAAAAGATGTATCGTGACCTAAGAACTGTGTTTTGGTGGAAAAATATGAAGGGAGATGTGGCTAAATATGTGGAGAAGTGCCTGATATGTCAACACGTAAAAGCCGAACATCAACGACCATCAAGGTTGTTGCAATCGTTGGAAGTTCCAAAATGGAAATGGGAACATGTGACAATAAGCTTTGTTGTAGGCTTTCCGAAGTCAGTAAAAGGACACGAGGCCATTTGGGTAATTGTTGACTGTTTAACCAAGTCTGCCCATTTCTTCCCTGTTCGCATGACATTTTCGATGGACCAATTTGCACGGTTATATGTTAATGAAGTAGTGAGGCTGCACGGTGCCCTAGTTTCAATTGTATCTAATAGGGACTCAAGGTTCACATCAAATTTTTAGAAGAGTTTACATTGGTCTATGGGAACTAAATTGAACTTTAGTACAGCTTTTCACCCTCAAACTGACGGACAATCTGAACAGATAATTCAAACATTAGAGGACATGTTGCGATCATGTGTCCTAGAGTTTGGTGGACATTGGGAAAAACATCTATCTTTAATTGAGTTTGCCCTCTATTGACATGGCACCATATGAAGCTTTATATGGGAGGAAATGTAGATCGCCTATTCATTAGGATGAGATTAACGAACGTAAAATCTTGGGCCCAGAAATGGTGGAGCAAACAATAAAAGCAATTGAAAATATCAAAGTTAGCATGAGGAAGGCTCAAGATAGACAGAAAAATTATGCAGATAAAAGAAGAAAGAGCTTGGAATTTGAGATAGGAGATAAAGTACTTTAAAGGTTACACCCATGAAGGGAATACTACAATTTGGTAAGAGGGGTAAGCTCAGTCCAAGATATATTGGTCCTTTCGAAATTTAAAGGCGGATTGAAAATGTTGAATACCAGTTAGCCTTACCACCAGAACTTTCAGTTGTACACGATGTCTTAGATGTATCAATGCTCAGAAAGTATGTCCCTGACCCAACTCATGTGATAAGACATCAACCGTTAGATATTCAATTAAACTTAAGTTACGAAGAAGCACTAATATGCATCATAGCTCAGAAAGTACAGAAGCTTCGCAGCAAAGAGATACCGCCGGTTAGAGTGTTATGGCAACATCACTCAGTAGAAGAAGCTACTTGGGAGCGAGAAGTGAAAATGCGAGCTAAGCACCCCACAACTCTTCGAGGAGTTCCAAGGTAAATTTCGCAGATGAAATTCAATTTAAGGAAGGTAGGTTGTAATATCCAGAATTTTTATTACTAGTCGTTAGATTAAAAATTAGGACTTAAATACGCTGTTATTAAAGTCTAATAACCTTATTGGTTATTGACCTAGTTAAATGACCTTATTAATTACTTGCCAATAGTTTGAGGACCTAAGTGAAGAGTTAATTTGGAAGTTGATGAAATTATATGTAAATATGTCATTTATCCATGATTAGAGATAATTTATTTGATCACATGCATTATTCACCACATTTTAAGCAAAGTAATTGCTTTAACTACATAAATAAAGATAATTGATTTAACCACATGCATTATTTACACCAAAATTCAAGCCAAAGTCAATTGATTTAATCACATGATTAAATGTATTGATTTGACAACTTTCAAGACAATGCACTAATTATGCTTTGACCATGCCTAACGTCTAGTCATTTCCTTTCAACTTTCTACGCATGGTCCAAGAACTTGCAATATAAATAGGAGTTAAATTCAACATTGGACTATCCCTCACCAATTATTTACACTCTTCCTCTCTATCTTTATCACTTTGTCTCTCTACACCTTTTCTCTCTCGTCTTTTTTATATTAAATATAGACATACATTTACACAACCCAACATGCGGCTCAAGGATCTCCCTCCAACAATCACTTCTTCTATCATTTTGGAATTGTCAAGTGAAAGTAAGTGTAGTAGTCCAAACTGTTCTTTCATTATTTATATTACGGAAATTTATGTTATGAATATGATGATAAGGAAATCCAAGTTATGATTATGATAAGGGTTCTATATGTGTAAGTTCAAAAGACCGAAATTTAGTAGCGCTACGTACGGGAATTATAGTCACGAAGTTCGGATTTTAATTACCATGTCTCCATGTGTATGTTATGATTTTCCGTAATTAAATATAAAATGCAAATTCATTATTGCTCATTTACTGAGATTTTTCTTACATGTATATGTTAAATATTTTATAGGTAATTAAAAGAGGCGGGTTCAAGGCAATCGGAGGTGGATTGTGCTTGCGTGGTTGAAAATGAACAATAATTTAAGTAGTTAAGAGGTTTTAACAATGTTTATTGTATCTTCTTTAAAATTTGTTTTAAACCTTTCATGTTCAGAAAATATTATGTTCTTTCATTATTTATGAAAGTATTATTTTTCGGTACATGTATAATGATTCCAAAGGTAAAAATTTGGGTCGTTACATTGAGCCAGGTCTGATTCATCTAGCCCAAGGTATTTTGCCCACCCTTGGTGCTTTGGAACTGGACCATGTTCTTTTTTGTTCCTCCCTTGCTCCCTTTGAGTGCATGCATGTGCACGTGATAGAACTAGCTCAGCGATCGAGCATAAACTGTTGAAAATGTTATGGTCACAACACAGACTCGCATTAACCAAAAAAACTTACAACAGCTTCAGACCGATGACCTTTTCTGTTGCTCCTAATCTAGGCCATAATGTGTAAATGAGCCAGTTTTGGTTGTTCAATATCATGCCAACCTAGAACAAACTGAAGTAAAAAAGGCGACATTTTTTCTGTCTTCTGAAATTAATCATGAAGCTTATAGTTAGTAATCCTAGGGCCAGAAACAACTGACATTCTACCATGGTCAATTTGTTTAACTCTCCACGTGCAGCTTGTACCTCTACTACGGCTGCTGCTAGCCAATTCCTAAGTCTATTACAATCACATATAATCAGATTAATCTGCCAAAACCAGTTGTATCCTCTTCTAGATTTTTTGACCTTCACTCTGTTGTAAAAACATTTGTGATTGTTCACACGTAAATTATTGGTGGTGACATGTACATTCAATCTTAGGCTGCAGGTTTCAGGATTGCAGATGAAAGTGACTGCAGAAGAATTCTTTATAATAAAAGTTATCACTAGATATGTTGAGCAAATCTAAACAGCACCAAAACCATAAATGCCTAATAAATTCAGAAAAGCAAAAAAAAAAAAGAGTAAACTTACGATCTTGATCTGCTTCGTCAATCATGCCTTGAATATCTCTTTCGCTGAAACGTTCGCCCAATTCCTTGGCAATGCGCTGAATGTCTGCAGCAGAAATTTTCCCCTGCAATCATGATGAAGAACCAATTATGAAGAGGCAATAATAATATATAAACACCAGCAGTAACTCACATTTTTATCTTGGTCAATAATGTGAAAAGCTTTCATTAGCTCAACTCCAGTTTCCCATTCCCCAAATTTGGCTGTCAATTTATCTAAGTCAATTGCACCACTGCTGTCCTTGTCTAGTTCAGCTATCATTCTATTAATTTCCTGTAACATTAAAGGCAAAAGTTTAAACCATAATGCCCTTATTACAAAATAAAATGCAATTGAAACTTAAAAAATTTGAATTACTGCCAATGACCTGCAAGAATTGAAAAACTACTAGTAGGTGATATAGAGACTAAAAGAGTACAAAGATAAATAGAAATTTTGAAAATATATTTTTAAAAAATAAACAAAGCAATAAACTTCAGCCAAGATGGTTTGCCACAGCTTAGTCCATATAGTGTGCAAAAGAAAAATTATCAGGAAGGAACCATATAATTCCCACATTCCATCCCCCACTTGGATAGCAACTGCTTTCTCAACAGTTTTTGTAGATAGTCTACTTTTCTTAACAGTTCTTGACACAGCGTTACAATCAATACTTCCCAAAACAACTGATTAAGCAAATCTAGAACATTGGACAGATAATCTACAATATTTCTCATATGAGCACATCAATTCCATACTGTACGGAATCAAATAGCCCCCAGTGTATTAATCTTTTCTGTAGTATTCAACATATATGCTTGATTAGATTATTGACAATATATCCACCCACTTCTTAATATTTAGAAAAGGGATAGTATACCCCACAGATTTTTAACCAGATTAAATTGATATATTGCTTGCTTGATAGTGCTTTTAGATTGGTCCAACATCATATTTAACTCCACATTTATTAGGACCACAACCTTTATCTACTTTTAAACCACATTTTCCTTGTAACCCACTACTTATAAGAACTTAAAAACTTGGCCAAGCAAGCACATAGTATAAACCAACTACTAATATTAGAGAACACACATTAAATTTGCAACTTGTGTTTCACACGAGGCAAAACTTATTATCACATGGTCTCTTCAAACAAGCAATATTTCTACATCATTTTTAACTAAGCGCGTATTTAACAAAATGACTTTCTTTGAGGAACGAAGAAGGAAACACATCAAAAGAGGTTCAAACATCTCAAATAATCATCCAATCACTATAAGTATGGTAAGAGCCCATTGATAATATAGAGTTTTTGGGGAAAAAAGGTTGGATTAAATCTCCAGGCTATTGGAAACCTCTCTGTTTTTGGAGGACAAATATGTAAATATTTCATTAATCAGTACGATGGTAATTGACAACAAGAAGAATAAATATGACAAACAACACATGGTCTCTTGTAGGAATATTAACTCACGGTGTAGGACTCCATATAACTTATAGGTGTACCAGATAAGATATTTAACAAGGGCAGGCTTGAACTTTGTTCATTACCTCTTCTGTCATTTCAAAACCTAGATCCCTGCAAAGGAACCATGTCAGATCCAATATTCCCATAGGTAAAAGTAGCATTAACGAAACTCTCGTACCTCATGGCAACATTCAACTCTTTTGCATCAATGGTTCCTGTACAGTATTAATTAAAAGAACACCCAGTAAATTGGAATCAGATATCAGTAGATATATACTGCTTCCATTTATGCTACTATTTTCAATACTATATTTTACAAGAAGACTTGTGTCAATACCAGAGCCATCAGTAGCCCGCTCAAATGCTTTTTTTATCTTCTGCTTATTCTGTGTAGTTAACCCGTGACGTCCTCTGGGTTTATCTTTCCTGAGTACTGCAGTGTAAACCGGTGCCTGCAAGCAAGAGTGTTGAATAGAAGGAAGGGTAAGAGCCAAGGTGGAAAGAAGGGCAGATAGAAAGAAACAGAGAATCAGAAACAAGTTCTGATACCCGCCACTAGATCACAGTTTGATCATCGCTATTATCTAGAACTCTACATTCAACCCGGCCAACCAGAACAGCCTCAAACAATCCAATTTAGTCTGTCCATTTGATCTGTATACTTACTAATAAAATAAAAAATTTCTACCATATTTACAAAACCCATAACTTCAACTACTGTATCAATGAATTCCAATACCTTCCGGTCATCTTTATGATTTTTGACCAGTGTATTTCAATTTAGCTCCACAATATTATCGAAGAAACTTTATTCAACACGATATCGTGTACCACATACTATCCGATGTGAAATTAACGAAATTTCAGATAAAACTATAATTAACAAAGAGTTCAAGAGAGGATGTAATAATCGTAACGTTACCATGGCGATCGGCAATAAGAAAAACTCAGCGGCTTCGCCTGAGGGAGAATGAGATTGTTGTATTCTAATACTCTATTATTAATAGGAGAGTCGACGCGTATTCGTTTTCTTTTATATTTCCTTTTCCTGTAATAATTATGATTGTTTCTACAGAAACAAAAAAATTAAGTATGAACGTAGCATACCATTGACATTTGAACCAAAACGAATTGAAAGTGAAATTACCAACATGAAGCTTCGTCGTGAGTGATTGGGGGCTCGGAAAAGGTCCTGGTCACGTGTAAGAATTGTTCAATAATAAACTTCGATAAAGTGAAAGATTTGTGTGAGCGTTCCAATCAAGTGTAATAAGTGCTCGAGTAAAATGCTCAATAAAGTGCAAGACTTGTGTTGAAAAAATCTTTAGTGACGGAGCCCAATTTTTATGAAAAAATATATTTTCAAATAATAGATTGATAAAAATGCGTTGTTAAAATAAAAGGAAAATAATTTTAATTTACTTATAATATTATTTTAATGAATAATGTGTGCTTGAAAAAAAAAGAGAAAAATATATTTTGGATAGAATGGGAATCAAACAAAGCCCTAGTATAAGACTTATTGATGAGGGCATCATATCCTATTTTGTTATATTATTTGGATTATTTCTTCTTCTTCTTTTCCTCCTTGTTTTGGCTTTTATTAGTTATTGGACTTGTATAATGGATTCAGCTCAAGCCCTTTCTCTTTATGTTTGTGATTTTTTTTTTTTTTTTTATATTTGGTTTGTTGTGTAATTGAGGTGGACTATGAATAGATAAAATGAAAATGGCTTTGGCTTTCAGCTAAACAAATCTCCCCTTCCCCTGATTCTCTTCCCTCCCATGTTTCTTCTCTGGTTCTCTTCAATTTCTCCCCTCTTTCTTGCTTCCATTACTCTTCTTCCACTTTGTTTTGTGATTCTCGTGCTTGTTGCAATGATGTCTCTTATTTCTTGTGATTAACTGATGCTTCTAATTAACTGTGGGAATACATCAATTGATTCTACACCAACTTGGTACTAGAGCTAAACCCCAATTTCTTTTATCAAGGTGCTACTTAAAGTTGCATACTGGAACACCTACAGAAAAAACCAAACTGAAAATTATTAATGTCTTTCTCCACCTCTGCCCATAGACCTTACAGTCATTTTTGTTGGCCATTTTAATCTGTTGACATTTGAAAATGGCCAACAGGTGTCATTAAAGGATGATGTACACGTAGGTGTAGTTTACCGTATGTAAATTGTAAACAGTACGTTTGTAGAAGAAGATGAATAGTAGGCAATGAAAGTGTATTGTATTCTCTTATCTATCTTTTCAAGATTCTCTTAAATGATACAAAAATTGCATATTTATAGTGATCAGACTGACATGGTCACTATAAGATTGGATCCACGTGGTCTGATCTGTCAACCCCAACTGTTATATCAACTTTATTACACATTAATTATATTGATAGATTTTTTACAAGAGGTCAATCATTCTATAAACCTAGGCTGATATTCCTGACACTTATTAATTGCGCACGTCACATCAGTCAACTCTGAAGACATACTTGCCCGACCCTGGCTATTCTCAATTAAACAACCTCGCGCTCAATGTGACAGCTTCGGATGTTGATCCCTTTTGCGTGCTTACCATGTGTCCAAATATGAGGACCCCCACGTGAGTCATTTCGTATGTTTAGTAAAAATACACTTCCATTGTCTGCTATTCATCTTCTTCTACAAACATACTATTTACAATTTACATGCGGTAAACTACACCCACGTGTAGATCGTCCTTTAATGACACCTATTGATTATTTTCGAAGGTCAACAATGTTCATCCCCCAATGAACCTTACTATTTTACCAACTTTTGTCATACTCCCAAATTGCTAGATACAGTCCCTAACTCCAACTACTTCCCAGTTCGACGCCTCCTTCTCTATGTTTGTTTAAACTCTACAACACCACAATTACAGTGCCCAATATACAGTCAACAGCCTATATCAACAACCATCCAAAAAAATGTATGTAGCAGTAGCCGCCTTCTTTGTAACTACCAACCCCACAAACCCACCTTTACCTTTAAATCGAACCACTACAATTTCATAAGCTAATCAAAGCCACAAAGTGTTCCAACCACCATCAGTTTCTGTCGGTCTGCAATTTCAACACAAACCGATTCAACTGTCGGACATCTCCAATCCTGTCTGCAGTCATTCCCTCATCATCAACCACAGTCAACGCTGGCCATTCTCTTAGTCGTCGTCCAATGTATATCAACCGTCGACATCTCCAACAGCAATAAAACCCGGCCGCTTGTGTCTCCCCATACTCACCTTCCTCAGTTTTCTGTTTGGATGCTATTGTATTTATTTGTGACTAGGCATTTATTTTCCATTTGGGCTTTACCTATGGTTTGTATTTTGGGCATAGATTTTATAAGCTATGTTTTGTATGTATAAAAGTCTAATACAATTTTTGGTGAAAAAAAAGGAACAAAAAAGAAAAGAAAGAAATTTGAAAGAAGAATAGGAAAAAAGTGAGAAAAAAAATAGTATTTTCTGACATTATTTCGGAGGTACCTCTTTTTATCATGTTGATCAGTTAAGTTACTTCAACGGAAAAACAGGGGAGCTATGTTTATCTATCTTTGTTTTATATATTACTACTTATTTTAGAATTGCATCGATTACTTCTTTATCCTGCTGTATTTCTAATTTTTTGCCTAAAATTTACGTGAATAAATACCTAGACTTGCTAAATCTCTTGACTTGTTATATTTTCATTTCTATCCCACTTATTTTATATGATTCGTTATTGACTAGTATTTGACTCTTACTTTGTTATTTTATATAGATCAGCAGTACTAATTTACCATATTTGGATTTATTTAATCCCAAAAAAAATTGTTCAAGTTGTTATTTTTCATTGCTTGCGCTTCTTGTTCATTAATCTCTCCATTGGAGTCATTTAGCTGCTAATACAGTTCATACAGTTGTGTAGTAGCCTTCTTATCATCTTTGGTGTTAGTGCCTTAACGATGATACCCTCACAATTTGATGCACTTACCCGACAAATAGTAGCTATCCAATTCCAAATTACTGCTATTCTTGAAGAGAGTAGGAGCTTGGCTGCTAGTTTGAACAATTTTAAGCAAATCCCTAATTCGATTGATGTTGATAATTTTGGAGTGTCCCATAATAGACAATATCATCTTCGACAAGTTGATCAAAAATAATTTTGACATGATTGTAGAGATAGGGATTAGGTTCATGAGCGAGAACAAGGCTATGCTTGTCACGATACTCATTCTCTCCCTATTCATAAGGAGCGTTTCTTTAGAGACATGAAATTAGATACCCCTACTTTTGATAATTGCTTAGATCCTAAAATTTTCACCCAACGGAATACCTTTACACAAGGCCAGTGACTGAGTACATCGCTTAATTTGAGGAATTTCGAATGAAATGTCATATCATTGTGTATGAGGCCCTAACCTTGAGAAGGTTTAGCCAAGGACTACAAGATAATCTCAGACGTGAGCTCTTCCTTTGAGGTACCAATACTCTTGATCATGCTTACTCTTTACCTCGAGCACTCCATATGAAATATGTGGTGATAAACATGCATCCATCTCATCAGTGTCACCTCCTTTTAAGTCTATCAAATGACCTTCTTTGTTTAATATTCCTCATGTGTTCAAAAATAAGGGTAAAATTCTTGAAATTTCAAGGACTTCTACTCACTTGCAATGTGTCAACTATAAGGAATTTAGCCACATCTCTTTAAAATGTCCTAATCGAACCTTAGTCATTGAAGAACAAAATAATGTAATAGATGAGCTATTAGAAGATCTAGTCTATGAACCTAAACTTGATGATTTTGATGACTTTGGTGATAGCGAGGATACATCCTTAGGTGATATACAGACTCTTCCTAAGAATATAGATACTATACTTATTGTTCCTGAAACCTCTCGATTACGTGTTGTATACCGTATTCTTACCCAACCTAGAGAGGCTGATGATTTCTCTGGTCACTTATGCAGAACCTCGTAGACTATGGTTATTACTAAATTGAAATTCTCCACTACAAACCACCTTCAGATGGTTAAACTGAAGTCTAACCAAAGTCTTGACAATTTATTAAAGTGTCTAGTCCAAGAAAATCTTGGGAATTGGAATTCGATTATCCAAACAATTCAAATTACATCTCACAATTCTGCAAATCGGTCTATAGCTCTAAGTCCGTTTAAACTTATTTATGGTTATGAGCCCAGGTGGCCTTTAGACCTTATTTTCATGTCCCTACATGCTAGTGTTTCGATGTCAGCTGAGGCATTTGTACATCATCCTCATGACTTGCATATTGAGATCAATAATCAACTTGAAGCAAATAATGCATCATATAAACTTCAAGTTGATTTGTATAAACGATATATTATATTTAATATTGGGGATTATGTTATATTACAAGTTGTAGTGCTGGTCTTTCTAAAATTTTAAAGCATGTTGATCCAAATGCATATGTTATTAATCATTCATCACATTTTGGCTACAACCCTACTTTAAATTTTGAGGACTTAGTTACTTACAAAGGTTATTTTAATTCATTTGATGATCCTTTTTACTTCCATATGTGGACTCCCAACCTATACCATTTCTACTCCAATAACAGCCGTCACTGCACACAACAATAAACTTGATGCCATTTTAAATGAACAGATTGTGTTAACCATTAATGTTGATGCTTCCTTGTTTGTTGGGTAGATAAGCATGCTTATTGTGCTCCACATTATGCACAATCATGTCTAGATTTTGAAGATGGTTGAATGAGTATTTACTAGTTGCATTCAGTGTTAGTATTTGGTTAGTTAGAAAGATCGTCCCCCGTAGCGTGACTTAGACCATTTTGGGTATCAGATTGACTGCAGCTTTTATGCTTTATCCTCTTAACGGAGTCGAGTTTTCCTCCCATCCTAGAGCTGATGAGGACATCCTATCCTATTTTGTTATGTTATTTGGACCTTTTTTTTTTTTTGCTTTTATTAGTTATTAGGCTTGTATAATGGGTTCAATCCAAGCCCTTTCTCTTTGGCTTGTGGTTTTACTATTTATTTGGTTTATTGTGTAATTGAGACAAACCATGAATAGATGAAATTAAAATGTTTTTGGCTTTCAACCAAAGAAATCTCTCTTTCCCCTGATTCTCTTCCCTCCCATGTTTCTTCTCCAATTATCTCCATTTCTCTTTGGTTTCTCTTTCTTTTCTTGCTTAAATTATTCTTCTTCC